GAATCTTTTTCAAACATATATTGCAAAAAAATATTTTTTTACACTACTTGAAGCACAACATCATACATTTAAGGTTCAACGATACAGCTGCAACAGGGCTGATAAATATTTACACCCGGTAGACATCCCCAATCCCACATTTCATTTTATTCTTGAGACAATATACATTACAAAGACTGTAACAATCTTTTAGTACAGTAAACACAAGTGAGAAAGTTCCCGAACAAGGCATGTTGGAAAGCCAGCAGTGCACAGAAAAAAACAAGAAGGAACAGAAAAACACAAAGAAAAACGTCATTTTCAAGAGAGCTTGAAGTTCCTGCATCCTTTTTGCACCGTCATGCTGTGGCCTCCTTCATTCAAGGATGTAGGATGAGCGAAAACGAATAAAACATAAATAAAGACGTCAAAAGAAACCTTTGGAAATGTAAAATGTGTATCCATGATTACAAGATAGTCCTGAAGAGATCCAATACGCCTGCGTCTTAGCTATTTCATGATTCTGTGAGCTAGACAGAAGTCATGCCAAGTAGCATGGCCTAGCTTTCGTGACATCGGCCCACAGCCCTGCACCCGGTGCGGCTGGGCGCAGCTGCGGGCGAGTGGGAGCGGCCGACCAGGCTGGGCGAGACTCGGCCTCGAGCGCCACCCACCGTCCTCCCAGTGAGCGCAGGCTTTTGCAGGGAAAAAATGCGTTCGCTTTTGGCTCTCTGCTTTGCCTGCTTTGCAGGCTGCCTTCTGCTATTGGCGCGTTTCCGCTTTGATTTTTGTGTTCGGGAAAGATCTCTTGAGTCTATGTTTAATCAGACCACTCCCGGGTGGATGCAGCCACCCAGGCGCGCTGGCTTCCTGGATACAGCAGGGTTGCCCACCTGCCAAGCCCGTGCCCGTGCCCGTGCCCGTGCCGTGCTATGCCACTGCATGGGATGACAAAGTGGGGGGATCCATGGTGGGATCAGCTTGTGCAAAAAGAACAACTTCGCTCGTCACTTTCCAATGCCACCGAACAGCTCAAGGGCGGGGCGGGACACCACGGAAACAAGGACGCACAAAGCCCCACCGGCCCCAGAAGCAGGCCCCAGACACAGAGACCCCCCCCACCCCACCGCACACGGATGGCAAGAACAAAACACGGATTTCAGAGATGCCGTCCAGGCACAGAGAGGAAGGAGCAAAGGCAGACGAGCTCGGCTCACCCGGTGCATTGAGAGACTGCAAAGAGGAATGCAAGCTCATCTGGTGGGGCGAGGACCGGAAATCAAAGTAGGATCGCCCGGGGAAGCTGGGTTGTAGATTAAGGGTGGAGGAGAAAGGACTCATTCTACGCAGCGGCAATCTTTCCGAAGGCACTGGAAAAGGGAGGGTCTGTTCTTCTGAATCTGTGTCTAAATGCAAGATCAATGCACACTAGAGATCAGACATCTGCTACCTTCCCGCGGCCTGTTCCCCAAGACCAGCCGGAACAGGGCGTCCACACCAAGCACCATCCACCCCACCAGGCTGGGGTGGGCCTTCCCAGCAGGCCAGAAGAACCCACAACCATCATTTCCCCCAGTTTTGAAGTGGTAGTAAAATATTTTGAAAGGCTCCCTTTTACCGAAGTCAATATTTTGAGTGAATTTAGAAATTTTGGAAATAAAATGTTACTCATTGATGACCATGAGATTAATACCTTAATCCCTTCAGTGACCCTGGAAAAGAGCCCCATGCACAACCGAGAGAGTGTCTGCTGGGGAGGTGCCGACTGTGACAAGCCCTTTGCCCTTCCACAGCGTCCCATTTCTTGCCTTCATCACATATTTCCCTGTTTCTAAATAGGTAAGACTAGCACCCTAAGACTTGATCTTTTGTTTTTGTTTTTGTAAAATCATTTTATTAGGGGCACATACAACTCCTATCACAATCCATACATACATCAACACATTTGTACAGTCATTGCCCTCATCATTCTCAAAACATGTGCTCTCCACGTAAGCATGAGCTCCTCCAGACTTGATCTTTAAACAGGAGTGGAAATGGAAGATAGTTTAAGGTAGACAGGGAAGGAGTCTGACCTTTATTTCTGAACTATGATCAGACTCCAGGGAGTTCCCCTGAATCTCTCTGGTTCTCTAATGGTAAACAGACCTGGGCAGTGGGAGGTGCATCAGTGGCACACACACACACACACACACACACACACACACACACACACACACCCCTGTGTATTTTCAGATGGCCAGATTTGGCATGACTCTCCATCTCATGTTCAATTCCCCCTTGAACTTGCTTGGGCATTAGAGGAGTGTATGAGTTAGTCTCTCAGAACTATAGAAGCACTCCTTTCGGTGGCATAAGCAGCAGCTGATTCCGTGGTCTGGCCAGAGATGGATCAGCACATCACCAAGTGGTATCTTCTTCAAACGCAGCTTAATAGAAACCATCCTTTAGGAAATCCAGTTGGCCTGATGGGAACATGCCATGACTAAAACCACAAAGGAGCTTTCTTCCCATTGGAAAAATAATTTTGTTTTGGTGCTGTGGGAGGTTTTCTCTGGGAATACTTTTCTGGTTACTCTGCCACTCTTTGTTGAACACACCTTTATTTGGTCAAAACGTTGGTCTCTGTGTACCTGAGCAAACATACCTGGAGTGCATGTTCTGGAACACGATCCTATTTATGTGCTCAAAACAAAAGCACTGGCAGGTTCTCATTTACTACTGCTGAGAGTCAGTCTCCTTTTCACATCTGAACTAATAATATTACTGTTAGTTGTTCAGAGTTAGATGCATTCTTAGGTTTTTTTAAAAGAAAATCATAAAACATATATTAGAGAAAAGGAATGACCATTTATGGAACTGAAAGTCTGTGTTCCCAACAAAATTACATTCATATTTTCTTCTATTTTAACATCATGTAGTCTTAATGACTTGACATGGATCTGATAGTTTCTTTGTTCAGAAATGACATGTTATAATTATTAAGGTGGAAAACAGCCTTTTGATTTAATGGAAATATTTGAAATACAACAGCTCAGCATCACAAACTATGTGAGTTTCTTTTAGTGGGAAAAGGCATTTACACCGATATTTACATGTCAGTAATATATATATAATATATGTATTTAATCAACAACAATTTTCTTGGAAACGTATTTTTAACCTGGCAGTAATAATGAAGTCAAATGCACGTTGCTTTACAAATGAAGGGAAAGAACATCTACAGTAAGATGCGTTTCGGAGGGGTTGGAATCCCCAAGCAGGTAGAAAGCACTGGAGGAGGAGATAGGACTTACTCTAGCCCTTGAGGAATGTACAATCCCAACATGAAAGGTACTCACCATTTCCTATTATCAGCACCAGAGAGAAGAATTTATAGCCAGGGATGGCATCACTTTGCAGGGTGGGCTCTGAGGGCAGCTACAGTTATTTATGACTGTTATAGATTTTAGGATGTCCCCCACCCCCCAATTATGTGTGGTAAATCTTAACCTCTATGTCTGAGGTTCTCATTCCATCATGCTAATGCGGCAGGAGTAGTGTAGGCTGTATCCTGAGCCCTATTCCTTGGTGCTGTAATAGAGATTAAATGAGCAGGGAGGTGCCAAGCCACGTGAAGATCAGCGGGAGCAGATGCTCAGAAGACACAAAGACCTTCCTTCAGAACCATCGGAGAGAGAAAGCCTTTCCCTAGAGCAGGTCCCTGATTTCAGACTTCTAGCCTCCTAAACCTCGAGAGAATAAAATTCTGTTTGTGAAAGCCATTTACAGTGCAAGGGGGGGAAGGCAGAGGGGGCATTTCCTTTTATAGCGGCAGTAGTTAACTAACACAATGGTGCTACCAAGTGACAGGGAAGTGGTTAGTGCCTCTCCTTTTATGGGGATCCTTTGTTTCCTGATGGTGCCCCCTTTCTTGACTCCTCTCACTCATGTAATACGCCCTTAAGTTAGGCGAGTTTATTTCCTGTCCACATTATCCAGCCAGGTGTCCCTCTCTTGGAGTTTTCTCCTACCCATCCCCAACAACCCAGGTTCTTACCCCATTTTCTTTAAGCAACCCCTAAAATAAATAAGTAAAATCAATCCTAGTTTGTGGTAAAATGGATAACAGGAGTGATAACACTTTTACCTGGTCTCAGTCTGACTAAACAAGCTATTTTCCCTGTACACATTTCCTCATGGGTACATAGAGCAAATGTTTGGGCAGTTGCCTATAGATCATCCAGGGCATTTGATATTGTCCTAGATTGCACAAGTGTTGGAAGGAAAGGACCCAACATCTGAGAAACTTCCACTTACAGTCCTCAGTGATGAGAATTCATCACTCATGAGCATCTCCTTCTGCCTTGTGGCGTTATCAGTCTCCTGCTCTGGATAGACTTCTGTGGGAGCTCCACTCATCAATGGTAGCTTCACTATTTGGGCCACGCAGAACACATCACCACTTCTTCAAATACTTGAAGACGGTCGCCCATCTGCTTTGCATCTTGTATTTTCTGGATTAAATGGAAACGATTTCCAACCTTTCCTCTTTCAAATCCTCCACTCTCCCAGTCATGCCCCTCTAGACATGGTGACCGGCCTGAGCCAAGGGCAATAGGATCATAACAAGAACAGCCTCCTCCTCCTCCCTGGTTTAGACAGATTGCACCAACTCACATTGAGCATAGATACAGCTACCCAAGTGTGTATTCCTTGTTTTCCCTCTGAAACACAGTTACGGAGATGCAGATCTTTTATATTCTATTAAGAAGAAGGGATGTTTTGCCCCCCCCCCCCAATAGTTATGGTACAGGACTATGGTTTAGGTCACGACTATTTTCCAGGGTGAATATTATTAATTTTAAGCGTATAGATTCTTAGATGAAGACAAGCTGCTACTTGAGAGATTTAAAAAATTTTCCCATCACGCTTCCTTGCATGCAGTGATCCTGCCTAGCCAAAGAGTTCTCTGCTCAGTGGAAGCAGGTTAGTAGGGAGGACGAGTGAAGGACAGCATGTCAGTAGCTCTGTAACTCTGGGGTGAGGACTGTGTTCCTAACTGAGGTGTGTCAAGAAACCTTTTCAGTTACTCTGTCAAAGTTCATTATTATCCTGTCACCCGTGCTTGGACTTCGTTCCCTTCCCACTTGGGATGGGCTCGATTCAGGAGTAGGGCCTACAGGATGGCAAAGGCCTCTAGTTAGCAGAAGCAACCAGGAGCAACCAAAGCAAAAGACCGACCTAGGGACCACATGAATTATTTACTGACTTTTGGGTTTTAGGAAGAAAAGAACTAGGTAGGTGGTTTGTTTCTGTTTGGCTCACTCATAGTTCTTTTAGCTAACACTCACTAACTACCTACCAGGTGCTAGACATTGCAATAGAACTGAGCAGTTGGGAAACATGAGGCTGGCGGGGAGCTGACTATAAGAAAAAAGAATTCAGAGAAAATCTGTGTTCTATGTGACTGATTGGGTTTTACTGCTATGACTGTAACTTCTTGGTGGATTCCAGCAGGCACAAAGTACGAAAGCTTCCTTATAAACCATTTTGATATGTTGAAGATATTTTAAAACGCAGTCTTTAAGGGGTATTTCTAGATCTCAGGTTAGAGGAACGTTAGAGTCAAAGAGGAAGAGGAAGCCGACAGTTGTTCCTGTACACCAATGTGTACAGGTAGACGTCTCGGTTGTCTCCCAGCCCAGTAATGTACAACGTCACCAGTTAAGCAGTCCAACAAGATGGTTGCAATTCAGAGCATAATAAAGCAAGACACGTCCCCAGAATTTACACAAGCAGTGTTATAGATGGCTTTCTGTCTAATTATAAAGCAGCTGTTAAATGCTTGGCTTTTGTTAGGAAGATTTAAGAAGAAACAAAGGAATGCGTTGAAGAAGGGGGTTGAATTTCCTAAAACGATCTATGAATTTCCTTAAATGATCTAATAAGCAGCCCAAATCACAATGATGTCCAACTGGTACATAATTTTCAGCAAAAGGCGGTATTTTAAGTGTCCTTAAGTCTGGCATTAATTGCAGTTGAGAAGCGAGGAATAGATCTGTTTTGAAAACCCCCTTTTAAAAGAAGCAGTGAACCAGCCCCTGCACCCCTCAGAGTGCTGCACATGTCCTCATCAGTGCTCCACTCCAGTGTCCAGGGCTAGAGCCTCATCTCAGTGGAGCTTCCACTGGAGGAAGGAAGCCTTCCCGTATTAAATACATCCCAGGGGACTGCCTCATCCGTCGTGTGCCACCTGAAAGCTGTACTCCCCAGAATGAAAAATAGGTTTCTGG